TGCTGTTGCTGTCTCTTATACACATCTGTATATGGATTAAGGTGGTTCTTCATCATCAGCTGGTGATAAGTAGAAAAAGCAGAATTAATTTTAATAGTATGTGTGCATGAGTGCAAGAAGTCATGTTGAGAAAAGTCGCATAGCTTTCATAAAATGTAAGAATCCTCAAATTATTATTCAAAACATTAGGTGATCAAGCCTTTAATATGTGATACATCATTAGAATCTGTAGATTAAAGTGATTAATAGTTTGGGTAGTAATCAATACAATTGTCTGTAGACTCAGAATTTCTTGCGGTCAGAAAATTGGAGTATAATATACAAGATATCATTGAAGCATGATTTTATGTCTTTATCAATTAAGCTCACTCTGTGTTATGGCAAAACCCAACAATAACAATAGTAGACTTGTGCCTAATAACATACGGGTAGAGTCCAACAATAACTGACAACAATAATGTAAGGGTCCCTTAATATACAGTACAGTTATGCATAGCATGTCATAGATAATTCCACTATGACATGAACATTTTAGAGCTCTTTTTCCAAATTAATTGCCATAGTTGATGTTATATTGATTTTGTAAGGCTGACTAAAGAAAGTTGTATGTTGGCTCTCACAAAAACCAGACATGCTCTTACTTACAAGCCACAAAACATTAATAACTGCAGAACTCAAAATCCCATTTTCTGCAAGTGTTCCATGTGCAGTCCAAGATTTGGTCACCTTTCCTTCTGGAAATAACAATTTGAATTCCCTACTTGCACCATCGTCTGATCCAACAAAGTCTAAAAGGGTCTATAAAAAAAATTAATGTATTCATAAGAGTGATACATAAGTGTGTTAGGCTAGAGAATTCCTGCTGGTCAGCCCCTACTGAGATTGGCTTTTGTCACTTTGTATTCTAGTATGAGCACTATATGCTTTAATTTAATTGCTATGAAAACTTAATACTGTATCTAATATTTTAATAATGTAGCTAGGGAGACATTTCTCTCTTAGGACCAGAAAATGCAAAAATCTGGTCTACTTTATGTATGAAAACAAATATACCTTAATCTGCATATTCTTTTTAAACCTCCTAGTCCTGACACTACTGTGGGTACGAACCCTTACAACAAAACTGTCAGCTGGCTCCGGGGGAACTCTTCTTTTCCTCCCATTAATCAATGATATCAGTTGTCTCTAATGAAAAAAAAAGTGTTTTATATTTATTTTTTCATGCCAGCTAATTTTTTTCTTTAGCTTTACTAGAGTGTAGGAGGCGCCTGAGTCTGGGATGGCCAAGACACGACTGGTGCTGACCTGAGGTTGGATCAAACCTAATTAGCGACAAAGGCGTATCATCATACTCCGGTTTGGGTGCTGGCATGAATTCCAACTTTCACCTTATTTTTTTTTTTGTGGTTCCATATTACACTTGCCTTTTGTAGTGCTATAGAGTCTATTTTGCGCTTTATAAACGGAAAACTATTTTCCATTAACCATATATTTGTTATAATCCTACAGATGTATGAATCCATTGCACAGTTTCAAATGCAAGTTTCACCATACTCTCTACTTGCATTAAGTACACTTAGGCCCCTCATAACTGTGCCACAGAATTTTTTGTATGTTACATAGAGCAGATGTAAA